TTAACTATTTGGAATTTATGAAATGGGGCTTGGATTAAGGAGTAGGTGTTTCATTTAAGACTATGCGGCTCGCTAGGGGCTGGCCTTTAGGTTTGCACATTCCGCTTCTCGGCAGCGTGGGGTTCACCAGTTCGGATCCCGGGTGCGGACGTGGCACCGTTTGGCAAAAGCCATGCTGTGGCAGGCGTCCCATGTATAAAGTAGAGGAAGATGGGCATGGATGTTAGCTCAGGGCCAGTCTTCCTCAATAAAAAGAAGAGGATTGGCAGATGTTAGCTCAGGGCTAATCTTCCTTCCCCCCCAAAAAAATGACTAGGCGGTGCTCTACTTTTCAAAGTTGTTAAGATTGTGTTGCTTGTTTTTTTCATTTGGAAGTCTAACTGTAATAGAACATATATTTGATTGGGTCTAAAACTTAAAAAAAAAAATTCATTATGAGAATATTTTCAAAGATTTATAGAGGAGAGAATTTCATTTGGATTTAGACCTATTGCTGTAACTTTGTGTCTTACTATTAGTATAGTGTTACTATTAACCTGTTTTTGACTAAGATGTCATATGAGAACTTTCTCATTTAAAGTTATAGTGTACATACACAACCCAAGAATACTTAGTATTTTACTATTTACTCAAAATTTGTAACATGTAGTCTCAATCTTCTCATCAAGTCAGTCTTAGATATTATACCCCTGAAGACCTTTGAAGCTCAGTTACTTATTGCTAATGGTGTTTTTCTCCCTGCCTCCTTTAATTCTCTCTACTCCCTCCCTCCTTCTTTTTCTTTTTCTCTTATTTCTCTTTCCCTTGTTTTCTGTCCTTTCTCTTTTTTTGCGACCTTCTGTCCCTTCACCCCCATAGTCTCACCTGAGGAGGTTGTAGGCCTTCCGACTCTACTTGTCATTATAATAGGCTGCTTCCCAAGCAAGCGGATGAAAACCTAAAATATCTTTGCAATCTCATGACCTTGGGCAAGGTGTATAGTGCTACGTGTATTGTGTGTGTCCACCTGGCTGGAATGTGTGCTCTTTGAAGGGTGGGATTTTTCATTTGATAACAGTGTTTGGCATTGTGAAATCATTAAACAGGAGAATATGTGGGCTTAAAAAAAATGCAAGTATAACTGAAATAGGGTCTAGAAAAAAAGTGGCTGTAGGATTAATTGACAGGCCTAACTTTAAATTGTTTCCAGACCAAACTGGTCCTCCCTTCCCCCCTTTCTTAAATTAATTTACAAATTTCCATTTTAGGGTAGATTTTTGTGTCAGGCTGGCTGGCACTATTTTACTTAAAAAAAAATACGTTTTAGAAAATTTGAAAAAATCAGAAAGAAAACAGAAATGACTTATCATGATTTAACATTTTAGTATAACCTTCACTTTTTTTCTTTACATAAAGTATATAGTTTAAGAATAGTGTGATCATAGTTTGCATATTTATTGATTTTTTTATTGAAAAACATAGGGGGGCCAGCCCAGTGGAGCAGCAGGTACGTTTGCACGTTCTGCTTTCGCAGTCTGCGGTTTGCCGGTTTGGATCCTGGGTGCAGACTTACGTGCCGCTAGTCAAGCCATGCTGTGGCAGGCGTCCCACATATAAAGTAGAGGAAGGTGGGCATGGATGTTAGCTCAGGGCCAGTCTTCCTCAGCAAAAAGAGGAGGATTGGTGGCAGATGTTAGCTCAGGGCTAATCTGCCTCAGAAAAAAATATAGAATACATACCATAGAAGGTATATGAGGTATAAAAACACATGTAGAGTTTTCAAAAACAAGAATAAAATGATCAACGAAGAAATATAAAACCCCCCTGTGTATTTCATCTCCCAAGGCGTTCTTTTCCCTCTTTCCCACAGGTAACCATTTGGGTTTATTATTATTTAGAATAATTTTTACTTCGTATATATTCATAAACAATATATAGTTTAATGTTGCCCATTTTCAACCTTGATCTGACTGGAATTGTATGATTCTTCTGATACTTTCACTGTGATATGTTTTAGATTGGTCCGTGTTGATTCTTCCAGCTATGGATCATTTTCAGTAGTATGGCATTCCATCGTAAAGATTAGCCACATCTTATTCTATTGTGATGGATGCTTGTCTCATTTCCAGTTTTTTGCAAGTATAAATTATACTTGTCTCCTTGTGAACATTCCCCTACCCCCCGCCCCAAATAAACTCTGAGTTCTCAAGACTATATATAATTAGGAGTGGAATTTTTCAGTTGTGTGTGGGCTGTGTGTAACTTTACTGTGTAATCAATCCCTGGCTGTTTTCCATGGTGTTGTACAGCCATTTGGTGAGGAAGATTGGCCCTGAGCTAACATCTGCTGCCAGTCTTCCTCTTTTTGCTCCAGGACACCACCACACATGGCTTGATGAGCAGTGTGTAGGTCCAGGCCTGGGGTCCGAACCTATGAACCCCTTGGCCACCAAAGTGGAGCACATGAACTTAACCACAACGCCACCAGGCGGGCCCCTGTACAGTTATTCTTAATTAGGTTCCTCATTTGAAACATGGAACACAGAAAATTGAGTGGCTGTTTTCTCACTACTCTCAAGGATATTACGTAACTAGTATCATTCTAGAAGCTGAGGGAAGTTAATTCATACATGCAATGGATACCTTAGACATTGGAATTTCATTCTTAAGACTGAATGGATAAGAGTTCCTTCCGCATCCTTGCCAGCGTTTGATATTGCTTCACTTTTTAGTTTTAGCCAATTCTAGTGGGATGTTTTAGATACAGTCTTATGAAAACCACACAGCTGGACTTTGTGTTAATATTACCTGCCAGCTTCTCTCTTCACCAGAGCATGGAGACCATTCACACTGATTGTAATTATGGATATTTTGGGTATATTTATGCCATCATAGTCTTCTACTTGCCTGGTCTTCATTGTTTTTCTGTCCTTTTTTTAAGGTTCTTTTTTTGAGGAAGATTAGCCCTGAGCTAACATCTGCCGCCAGTCCTCCTCTTTTTGCTGAGGAACATTGGCCCTGAGCTAACCTCCGTGCCCATCTTCCTCCATTTTATATGTGGGACACCTGCCACAGCGTGGCTTGCTGAGTGGTGCAGAGGTCCGCACCCAGGATTCAAACCGGCAAACCCCGGGTCACTGAAGTGGAGTGGGCAGACTTAACTGCTATGCCACTGTGCTGGCCCTGAAACAAAATTATTTGTAATGTAAATTATTCATGTTAAACATTTTTATTTTTTTGGTGGCCTTTAAAAAAATTTTATTTTATTGAGGTCATGTTGGTTTATAACATTGTGTAATCTCAGGTGTACGTTATTATATATCAGTTTCTGTATAGACTGCATCGTGCTCACCACCAATATCCATCACCATACATGTATGCCCCTTTTACCCCTTTTGTCCACCTCTCACTCTCTTCCCCTCTGGTAACCACTAATCTGTTCTCTTTATCCTGGGTTTATCTTCCACATATGAGTGAAATCATATGATGTTTCTCTTTCTCTGTCTGACTTATTTCACTTAACATAATACCCTCAAGGTTGTTGCAAATGGAACAATTTTGTCTTTTTTTTTTTTATGGCTGAGGAGTATTCCATTGTATATATATACACCATATCTTCTTTATCTGATCATCAGTCGATGGGTACTAGGGTTGCTTCCACATCTTGGCTATTGTGAATAATGCTCCAGTGAACACAGGGGTGCATAAGTCTCTTTGTATTGTTGATTTCATGTTCTTTGGATAAATACCCAGTAGTGGGATAGCTGGATTGTATGGTATTTCTGTTTTAAAATTTTTTTTTTAAAGATTTTATTTTTTTCCTTTTTCTCCCCAAAGCCCCCCAGTACATAGTTGTATATTCTTCGTTGTGGGTCCTTCTAGTTGTGGCATGTGGGATACTGCCTCAGCGTGGCTTGATGAGCAGTGCCATGTCCGCGCCCAGGATTCAAACCAATGAAACACTGGGCCGCCTGCAGTGGAGCGCGTGAACTTAACCACTCGGCCACAGGGCCAGCCCCTCTGTTTTTAATTTTTTGAGAAATCTTCATACTGTTTTCCATAGTGGCTGCGCCAGTTTACATTCCCACCAGCAGTGTATGAAGTTTCCCTTTTCTCAACATCCTCTCCAACACTTGTTATTTCTCGTCTTGTTAATTACAGCCATTCTGATGGGTGTGAGGTTGTATCTCATGGTAGTTTTGATTCGCATTTCCCTAATAATTAGTGCCATTGAACATCTTTTCATGTGCCCATTGGCCATCTGTATATCTTTGGAGAAATGTCTGTTCATATCCTCTGCCCATTTTTTGATCGAGTTACATTGAACATTTTCTTGGGTCAATTTTCTTATAGTAACTTGTTGAGTATCTCACTTTTTTCCCTCCAATCAAGGTCTCATTTTATTTTGACTAGAATTATCCTGTTATAATATCAATTACTTGGTGAAATGCTTTGAATTGCTGGAGACCAGATGACCTCTTGAAAATTCTTGGTTTTGGTACTTCAGCTTATTTAGTACCTTTTAATTCCTTGTGATTGGGAGTGCTAAGATAATGGTGGGAAAATACCCCTGTATATTACAGAACAATCCAGGTGGTAGTTACAGGAATAAAAACCTTGTTAGGTAAAATAGGCCATTTACTATTTTATTACCACTAAAGAGTTTTCGTCTTTTTAAAGACTGTCTGAGCTATTGAATTGTTCTAATGCTTATCTCACTTTACTAAAAAATCCCAGCTGTAATGGGATGTAGCTGGGATACCCTGAAACAACTTACATACTCTTTTTTTTTTTAAGATTGGCACCTAGCTAACAACGGTTGCCAATCTTTTTTTTTCTTCTGCTTTTTCTCCCCAAATCCCCCCAGTTCATAGTTGTGTATTCTTAGTTGTGGGTCCTTCTAGTTGTGGCATGTGGGACGCTGCCTCAGTGTGGCCTGATGAGTGGTGCCATGTCTGCGCCCAGGATCAGAACTGGTGAAACCCTGGGCCGCCGAAGTGGAGCGCACAAACTTAACCACTCGGCCACGGGGCTGGCCCCATAACTTATATACTCTTGACAGTCCAGCCATCTGTGGGACAAAGAAATGACTAATGTCACAAAGGATTTTATTGGAGTGATAGCTGGCCTGTCATGACAGTTGTCCAGCTTGGTAAATACTAAAAAATCATTGAATTGTACACTTGAAAAGGATGAACTTTATGGTATTCGTTATACCTCAGTGAAGTTATTTAAATTGTGTGAATAAATAATGTTATGAAATAAACAGAATCAACAGAACAAAAGTGGTCAGTGTATGTTAATCCTATAGTCATTGCCATTTTGGTAGCTATTAGAATCTAGGCTAAGCATTTGAGGTATGTTATCTTGTTTGATGCTCCTCACGGGCTTGAGAAAGAGTGAAGTACTATGTCAAGGTTACCTAATCTAGTAATTCGTGGAATTCAGGTCTATGTTACCTCCAAACCTGTGCTCTTCATCACAATCTGGACTACTCTGTCTGAAATACTGCTATCTGGGAATGTAGCCAAGTGCTAGCTGATAAGGCAAACAATGTCCACATTTGTGGTACATAGGGCTGGGTTTTGCACGGCTTGGGGAATGAGGGTTCGATATGCAGGTGGGGCCCTTGAACTCCTGTGCCTGGTGCCACTAGGCCTGTTTCACTTTTATCTGTTTTATATGAAGGGGTTTAGTCAGAGGTTTGGTTGGACTTGATTTCTGTGGTTTAAAGAAAAGAAAGCCTGCCTTTTCTTTAGTTTTTCATTCTGATTTTACTAGCTGTTCTAATCAGCGGGGGAGCTGGTCTCTAAGCCCTCTGCCGATTTAGGCGCATCCTGTGAGGAGGTCGGGCACACAACACTGAAAAGTGGCCACTGATAGCGTACCGTGAGAAGAGAGGCAGAGGAAGGCTATAAAATTACACTTAAGACCTCAAGCTGCTGGTAAGTGGGGCTGTTTAGTATATTGTTAAGCGACTCTAAAACTCCACAGAGTTATCATGGACATCGAGTGAAGAGTAGTTGCTGTTTACGTTGAGGGACAGAAAATGAGAAAATGGGGAGTGTGCCCAGTGTGCTGTTGAGAAAACATGCCTGTGGAAGGTGGAGGCAGAAAAGCAGGTGCAGTTTGGGAGAAAGGCAGGGCCAGTTTGACCAAAGTGTGGGGCTCAGAAAGGACTGAAGAGCTTGTATGTAATTGAGGGATTGATGGTTTGTGAACAGAAGTTGCTAGATTTTAGCACTATTGTGGAAGATTGAACAGTCCACTTTGGCATCAGTTTCACAAGTAAGATAGTTCAGACAGGTTAACAAGGGCCTGAAGTTTCAGTGAAGTGGAGAGGAGGCAATAACTGATACTGTAGTTGACAAAGGCACCTTAGAACTGCTGGCTTGTGTATGCGTAGATTGACGTTTCAAAGCTAGCACTGGACAGGGCTACCTAACTTACTCCTTGACGACAAGGAGGAGGACCCTTAATTCAGGTACTTAAACTAAGTTGATGGCACAGAGAATGTAAAGGAAGGCATCAGACCTTAAATATATACAGATATATTTAAGATATAAGGCCTTAAATTGTTTACGACTTAAATGCGTATGGGAAGAAATGGTGGCATTAAAAGAATGGCTTAAAGGTTTTGAGTTCTGGAGCATTTGAAAAATATTGGTCACTTGGAAAATTTTGGAAGTCTTCAAATGAGGTGATTTTGATGAATTCCATTATAAGTGTAGGTGGTATCTAGTAAGCAGACATGGTCTGAATCTCTGGAGACATAAGGTCTCCAGCTTTTTTTTGTAGATATAAATTTTTATTTCATATAACATGTCAATTATTTTACTTTATTTTTTTTTGAGGAAGATCAGCCCAGAGCTATCTACTGCCAGTCCTCCTCTTTTTGCTGAGGAAGGCTGGCCCTGAGCTAACATCCATGCCCATCTTCTGCTACTTTATACGTGGGACGCTTGGCACAGCATGGCTTGCCAGGTGGTGCCATGTCCGCACCCGGGATCCGAACTGGCGAACCCCGGGCCAGTGAAGCGGAACGTGCGCACTTAACCACTGCGCCACCGGGCAGGCCCCAGGTCTTTAGCTTTTGCTTTGAAGTTAATTATTGATGCCAGTAGAGCATAAAATTTCTGTGAGAAGGGAGAACGTGCTCAAGAATTGAACAATTTTATGTTTCAGGGGTGGGAGAAGGATATGATGCTGCTGAGGATTTGAGAGCAAAGGAGAACCAAGATGGTGTAGTGTCTGAGAAGCCGAGGGAAGAAAGTGATGAAGTAGGCTGAATGCCAGAGACAGGTGAAAGGATGAGGACCCGAGAAAGACTTAACGATGAGGAAGAGGTCAGTGGCGACCTGGGCAATAGCATTTTTCCTACTGTTGGAGTGATAGGGTGCTGGAAACTCGACAAAGTTCAGGAGATGTGTGGTGAGGAAATGGAGACAGTTTGTGTGTTCTTTTTAAGAAATATAGCTTGAGTAGTCATTGCTGACAAGATAGAACATGCAGTTTCCAAGAGTGCTTGGAAGGTAATTTTTCTAAGCCTTTGTTTTTGAGATTAATCTGGTTGTAGAGGATAGTTGAGCAGGTTTTTATACACATACTTGTGAGAAGGAAGAGGATATCTTAATAGGAGCGGTAGGAGATTTCCTTATTAAGGAATTTTTTTTTGAGTAGTTTTTTTTTTTTGAGGAAGATTAGACCTGAGCTAACATCTGCCGACAATCCTCCTCTTTTTGCTGAGGAAGACCGGCCCTAAGCTAACATCTGTGGCCGTCTTCTTCTACTTTATATGTGCGACGCCTGCCACAGCATGGCTTGTCAAGCGGTGCCATGTCCGCACCCGGGATCTGAACCGTCGAACCCCGGGCCACAGAAGCAGAACATGTGAACTTAACTGCTGTGCCACTCTGGCAGGCCCTATTAAGGAATTTTGTATTTGGTACTTGAGTGAAAACTGAGCCTGGTCGTAAGTGACAGGTGTGTTAACACTTAAATGGATTGTATGACTATGTTTTGATAGATACATTCATTCTTTAGGTAACTGACATTTTTTTAAAAGTTGCTTTTGGCATGAATGAAATAGTAATAAGGATGTCGTTAGAATAAAATAAATATGCTTTAAAAAAACACAAACAACTCTGGGGCTGGTCCCTTGGCCGAGTGGTTAAGTTCGCGCACTCCCCTGCAGGCGGCCCAGTGTTTCATTGGTTCGAATCCTGGGCGCGGACATGGCACTGCTCAACAAGCCACGCTGAGGCAGCGTCCCACATGCCACAACTAGAAGGACCCACAACAAAGAATATACAGCTATGTACCAGGGGGCTTTGGGGAGAAAAAGGAAAAAATAAAATCTTAAAAAAAAAAAATATTTAGCACTAATTGAACACTTACTGTTTTAAAAAAACCCCAAAAAACAAAAAAACACAAACCTAACTCAAGACCTTAGATCCTGGAATCATGGGGAAAGTTGAACTATAATGAAAAACTGTGTATCTGAAGTACTTAAAAACTATATATATTTTTAGCTTATAGTAATAGCCAGGGATGGTTTGCTGTCTTGGACTAGCTTAGTAATGGATGTACTGAATCTTTACAAATCAGTTGTGAAATACTTGTGTGTTTGTAATAATCAAGTGCCAAATGTTTTGTTTTTGTTTTGTTTTGCTTTTTGGTGAGGAAGATTGGCTCTGAGTTAACATCTGTTGTCAATCGTCCTCTTTTTGCTTGAGAAGGATTGTCCCTGAGCTAACATCTGTGCCAGTCTTTCTCTATTTTGTTTGTGGGACATTGTCACAGCATGGCTTGATGAGCGGTGCCTAAGTCCATGCCCAGGATCTGAACCTGTGAACCCCAGGCCACTGAAGTGGAGTGCGTGAACTTAACCACTACACCATCAGGCTGGCCCCAAGTGCCAAATGTTTAAATGGTTCATACAGAGATGTTCATGCAGAAAAATGAGAATAACTTGAAATGTTTTTGGTCGTCTGTCTTCAGTAAGAACTGAAGAAAGGTTTTGTCTGTTGTGAAAGTGTAGTTGGGATTTAATCACATTTAGTAGTTTACAATGAGAGTGGTTTGCAGAGATGCCACTTTACCCAAGAACCAAGCAATAAATTAATGTGAGGTAATGGATTAAAACTTTCAAGTGATTATGAGTTGAACTAGGTAACATTTTGAGTATTGTATATGGGATATTTGTTGAAGTTCTTTTGCACAACCTGCATGTTGGAGATTTTCCTGTGTGGAATATTAGTAGGGCTTTCCTGTGCTTTAAAATAAGAAGCAAGAGTTAAACTGACACTATGATTTAGATTTTGTCTTAGCTTAGAGTATCAGGAATCAAAGACTCTTTGTGACTGGTTGTGGTCAGTATGATGGGGCTGAAAGAAAGATCTGGGGCTGGCCCCGTGGCCGAGTGGTTGAGTTTGTCCACTCTGCTTCGGCGGCCCAGGGTTTCACCGGTTCGAATCCTGGGTGTGGACATGGCACCGCTCGTCACACCATGCTGAGGCGGCATCCCACGTGCCACAACTAGAAGGACCCACAGCTAAAAATACACAACTCTGTACCAGGGGGCTTTGGGAAAAAAAGGTAAAATAAAATCTTTAAAAAAAATTTTTTTTAAAAAAAAGAAAGATCTGGCTTATTGAACTTGTATACCCGTGAAGGGTGAGGTAGATTAGCCTCTGGTTTGACACCTTCTTTCCCCTTACTCACTGAGTCTTAGGGAGAGGAAATAAGCCAAAGGGAGCAGGCAACTTCCTTGCTTCTCCAGTTCTCTGTGAAGGCCTCGGGACAGAGCCGCTACTGAGAAGTTAAATTGCTCTGGCGGATGCGGAGCTAGAGAGTAGGGGCAGAATGGGAGTGAGGGTGTGAAGACAAAAAATTTGTAAAAATATGTTTAGGTCTTTGTCACAGACTAAGATTACTGTTGTTGGCCTTAAATCTGTCCTGATCTAATGACTCTCTGTGACTTGATGCTCTTGAGAGGATAGGTGGGGGCTAATGTAGCTGAAGGTGGTTGGGGAAGAGCCATGCTAAACTAGGGTTAGGGATAGGAGAATTTTAGACGGGAACATTCAGTTGGCAGTTTCTTACCACTTTTTGTTAATACCCAGGAAATAGGCCCTCTTTTTTCTTCTTTTTTAGTGCCTGATAATAACATGTTCTAATGTCAGTGGATGCTTGCAGGTTGGTAAGGTTGTCTCTTAAGCACTCGAGCTAGCCTAGAAGTCATTCTGCAGCCTGCTGAAAATCAAGAAATGTTTGAGGGCTTACTCTGTTTAAGGTTTGGGATGGAAACTGCCCCCACCCTCCAAAAAATGACAGTGAATCGGTGATTAAAACCAATGTAAAGGATTCTAAAATAAATGACAAGGAGAAGACTTGAAAGATTGCATTGTCCTTGGGGTCAGAAATTATTTTGGGGAAGTAGCCATACTATGCTGCCCAGAAGTCATGCAGATACATGAATGCTGCCGCTTTTGAGAAAGAGGCCAAGGACAAGAAAGATGATGATATGATGAATTTATTTAGGAAAGCAAGTCCTAAGTATGTCCCGAAGTTAGAATAGATTCAGACTGGTAATTTCCCATATCACACTCACATAGTTACGAAACTCATAAAGAATCAGAGAAAGTTAAATTGTGTTTATTGTACTGTATTTGCCAAGGAAGAGAAGTATGTATTCCATTTTAGGAGAGATTTATGTCAAAAATGTTTGGAACCAAAACCCTAAAGAGTTTTCTTTCATATTCCCATAATACCTGGTTCCTCAGCTGAACAGGATAATTGAGGTGCTGTAACTATAATGCTACCTTGCCTTTACATAGTAGTTTATATGTTAATTTTCTGTGATAAAAGCATGATACAGCCATTTCTAGTGGATCACAATAATGCAAAACAAATAGAAAACACTGGAAGGATATTCACTACACCA